TGCAACCCACGCTGGCTTTGAACTCTGTAATTCTCCTGCCTCAGCCTCCCAAGGGCTGAGAATATAGACATGTCCCACCATGCTACAGTTCTAAATGTATGATTTTAAATACAATTTGCGGAACAGGTATCTCCTGTCTCACAGGCTTATTCATTCACACTTAAGTGGTGGGTGTGTGAAAATTTAAACCATATATTTGTTCTCTACCTGAGACCTTAGCACTAGTTTCTGTGTCCACCAAAGAAACAGGATGACTTGCATGCTGGTAACTGTTTGCTATAAAGAAAAACTATTCACAATTATTCTTCTCTTTCTTTTAAATAATCTTGGATGATAAAAGTATATTATCCTTTTTAGGCAATGCACTGAACATTGTGCCATGTGGCATTGGACACAAAAAATGTGACATGTGAGGAGTCGTGCGATGATACAGATGGATTATGAGGAAAACTAAAGCAAACATTCTCCTGTTCTTTTTTACTCCATTTCTATCTGTCTCCGATCTCTTTGTCTCTTAAGCCAAGAATTGAACTGCTTGACATCTCTTACTAGAAATCTTTTAATGCGAAGATGAATTATCACTTCAGAGTGTGCATTTGTTTGTTGAATGAAGGCTTGCAAAATAAAAACAGAATCTTTAGGGAACAACCTCTTAACAGAGAACATGTGCTCTCTCTTCTAACTAATCTGTATGATGTGGTATTTTTAGTCTTTCTGAGTCCCTTCTCACTCTTCTCCCTGGAAAGAAAAGAGATTTGATCTACCCATGAATTTGAGAGAAACCACTGGTGCCCCTGGTTCCATCCCTTTTGATTTAAGACCTGTTCCTTGAAGAGAAAACTCTTTGCCAGTTCTAAACAGCCTATTTTTCAGGGTGGGTGGGTGTGTGTGTGTGTGTGTGTGTGTGTGTGTGTGTGTGTGTGTGTGTGTGTATCTGTCTGTCTGACTGTCTGTGTGTTGTAAGGGAGGCTGCCCTTGTCTAAGTGACCAGTGATTAAAAGCTTCTATTTAGTTTGAGAGAAAATAACCTTATTAGCCACAATGTTCTGTCACTTTCTCAAAGTAACTGGATAAGCAGTAAAAATTTCCATTCTTCTTCTTATTTTTTTTTATCCTTTGCCTTTTTCTCAACGGGGTCTAAAATGGTTTTTACCTTATTGGGTCTACAGTTCAAAAGAAAACATCTCAGAGTATTAGATGAAACATTTATAGAAAAATATAGAATTTCCCTCTTCATTCTTATATTCTCAATAATATTTAACCGTGTGCATGTGTTTCTCATCTTTTTAAAAATATTTGGATCATAATGTAGAACAGAGTCAATGACTGTTTGTTGATGGAATTCCATTTCAAACTTTCTCTATTTCTATATATTTACTAAAATGTATTGCATCTACGTGTGTATGTGTATGTATATTATAACCTATATGTGAAAGAGATGGCAAACATAGATCTATTTATATTAAATGAGTCCCTACAGGACACTATAAATTATTAATTATAATTTAATGAGTTTTATGACTACAGAGGAGTAAGAAAACAAATTCCCTCAAGTGTCAAGTATTGAAATGATAAATTCTACTGGAGGAGAAAATGCAGTCTCCAAAGTGAGGCAGGATTTGTGAGTCTCGAATGCTCCGTGCCGCAAGCACTGCCTCGCCTCTGCCTCGCCTTGCTAGTCAGACAAGCCCAGGCAGCTTAGGAAAGGGAAGCACCAGGAGCAGGACCCAGCAGGGACTGGATCCTCGGCACCTCCAGGCAACTCTGGAGAGCGCAGATGATGAGGCAGGTGCTTGAGGTCAACGCCTCTGAGTGCACAGCTTGACCCTCTATTTCCCTCAACATGGAAAAGAAAGATCACAGTTCTTAGGCCAGCACTAGATAAGCATGTGTGAACATAGACACGCACGTGCATGTGAATGTAGGTGAATGTAAACTCACTTCACGCGTCCAACGCTGACAGCATCTGTACCTCTCCTGCCCCCTCCGCATGTCCTTCTCACTTCTTTCTTCTGTATCTATGGACCTAATTTACCTTCATTTCTCCAAATGCACAGCCAGGTTACAATATGTGAGGTTCTAACATTTTATTTTTAATAATTTTTATTTGTTTGTTTGTTTGGTCGATTGAGGCAGGGTTTCACTGTGCAGTTTAGGCTGACTTTGAGTTCATTTTGTAGCCCAGGCTAGTCTCAAACTAGCAATGATCCTCCTGCCTCAGCCTCTCGAATGCTGGGATTAGGAACCCGGCTCTGAGATGATTCTTTTAACCTCAGGTTTTTGGTACACACAGATATTTATCATTCCTAGTTACACAGGCCTTTGTTGTTTGCAAAAGGTGAGTGAAGACTGCACTTCAATTCTCTAAGTAGCAAACTCATCTATGAGTGAGAGAACAGTTTTTCCTGAGGACAAAAAGCCACAAATGCTGCAGCCACACAAGAGTCTAAGGTTGATGATCTCAAATTCAACACTTGGGAGGCTGCATAGCCCCAGAAATACTTTGGAACAGCAGTGCCTGGAGCACAGCTCTCCATTTGACGTCACTTATGTAGATGTCTCCCTGCAGACCTCAGTTTCCCTGCATGCAAATCGAGGCAAAAATGCCCTCCTTGGGAGTTTTTAAAGTCAGATCATAAAAGTGCCCACACGTGCCTCATACTTTGAGTTGAATTAGGTACAAAATACCGCAAACGTTTCATTTAATAAAACTTATTACAAGAGAAACATTGCCACGATCCTCCCTCAGAATCCTCCCCTCACTTCAAACATGCTTCTCTCTTCTTTCCAGTCCCTTTCAGAAGCAGCTCTGCGTGTGCTCTTTCGTGTCTTCAGCTGTGCTGCTGTGGGCACTTGTATGTCTGGTCAGTTTAAAGCATCATCTTTCATGGTTATTTTCACTTTGAGGAAGCCCTAGAAGTCCCAGGGTACCAGATTTGCAGAATGAGGACACTCTGCCATGTTTCGTATTTACCAAAAACTGCTGTAAATGTTTTATCCAGCAGAGGCAATCAAAGCAAATTACGAATGTTTGGATCAAAAAATTATCACACTAAAAGTCACACTGCCGTCAGCCCTCTCGCTTCAAATACTCCCCCTTGCTTCAAATATACTCTCCCTATCTTCACCTTATCTTTCAATCACTCTGTATATGCTTTGTATTTTGTATGATCACAAACCTGAGTTCCGTAACCAAGTCAACAAAGGCAAATATACATTGGCCGTTAATCGACTAATAATTTCTACAGGATTCACATTCTGAGATTTCATTCTTATACTTCACAGACTGTATCTGTCCCCACTATTCTGTGCTCAAAGAATGTGAATTCATTTAATAGTTCTGGACAAAACTTGGAATTTAGAAAATGAATGTGTTCTGCAAAAACTGACGTCATTCATTCTTAACAAATTTGTAAGGCTTTTTTTCAAATTTTTAAAGATTAACTCATTGTTTATTTAATTTATCTCCATGACTAAGAATTGAATATAGAATACTTAGGTTAGACAAATATAATGTCTAAAATCAGGGGAAAATAAAATCCATTAAAATCAGACTCATAAGCAAGCCTTGCATATATGCAATTTTGAAATATAAAGTTTGGAGTTATTGACAGACATTGATAAAGACTTACATTGCATATTCTTATGCTGTATATTATAAAATTAAATTATGTATCTTTTCCCTATGTATATAAATATTTATATCTATAACCTAGATATGTATGTGTATACATATATATATCTTATTGCCAAATGAGTACCTTTAAAATATCTGAAAATCAAATGCTAACGCCTTTATATACCAATTCAGTAAGGGAGCCTATGATTATTTTGCCATGATATATATTTACATATTTAAATATAATATTTACATTTGTATCAACATGATTTCCATATATATATATATATATATATATATATATATATATAAATACTTCACACAACTAAAGCTATGTATGTTCAATTACTGATACTATATATATGTGTTTGTATGTGAACAGAATGACAGAAATTAGACTGTGTAGTTTACTCAATTCAATTTTGGTTTGGCATATAAACATACAGAACTGGATTTGGTTTTTAATTTTATAACACGTGCCTTAGTTTTCCTGTAGTAATTTCCTTAACTGACAAGGCTTTATACTGGTACTTTTAACGCACAACCAAGAATATTCTTCAGGATTTTAAAAAATATATATATTTTTGCAAATAGCAATGTTAGAAAAAAGCACATATACAACATAAAAGGTCTTGAATAAACTTCATTGTTGCTAGTGTCCACCTTTGGGGACTCGTATTATATTTTGTTTTACACCTCACATTGTTTATGCCCTCTCCAGTTGAGGTCCTGATGATCGTTAATCTAACATCTTTTCCAATAATGACAATGACTTGTAAAATACCACACAAAATGAAATTTTGCTCAGAATATTCACATATTACACTCTATGAATAATTCAATTATGTGAAGGCAAAAAGGAACAATTTTTGGAAAGTACAGCCAAGTAGTCTTTTGTAATTAAGTTTCTCTGGTGCAACAGTCTCTTTTTCACATCTTCATCTCAAATTACACTATGAAGCTTGATAATGAAGTCATGCAGCTTTATCATTTTCCAACTACCAGTCACTGAAGAAAATTTTTAGATGTATAGTACTGTGTAATATATTTTATATAGTGTTTAATACTGACTTGAACCAATGATGGTAAGTAGTCTACTTCTTACCGATAAAGCCAACAGATGTTGCTCAGGCCTTTCCCCCAATGGACAAGAAATTGCTTCATCTAAATAGCAGGATCTGGAAAAACTAAAGACTGAGGGGCAAAACAATTCAGCTCTGGTTTTAAAAATTAACTTTTCTTCCACATCTCTTTTTCCTTAGGCATTTTTCTTTTTCAGCAAATTCACTGATGTTATAGCACTGCAGAAAGTTCAATTCCCACCCAGGAATCATTAGCAAAAACTAAACGGAGCGAGTATGAAAGCTGGCTTTGCACCTACTGAATGCTGTAAGTGTCTGTACTCATTGGATATGCATCTGGCAAAGCTTGGCTGTTCCCAGAAGGCCACTCCGTGAAGACTGAGAGAGCAGCGTCGGCTGGTGGCGCCTGCAGGTCACAAAGAACAGAGAGAAACACTGTAGCAAGATACTGATGGTATGGCTTCCTTGAAAGCAGGCTAGACATGTCATTTGAACAATGGCTTTGAAGTTAATAATACACAACATACTAACCATTGTTAATTTCCCATTATCTTGCTTAGAAATTCCGTATCATTGGATTTTGTCTTTTTTCTCTTTAAAATAAAAAAATGGGTGTATGCATTTGTCTTTGTTTTAGAATATGCACATAAAGTTGTTTCAATTATTTTCACAACACCTATGAATCATCCTGAGAAATCTCTGCATTAATATTTTCTGGTTCTGCTCATTGGCTCCATTTATGAAGCATTTTATTAAAATTATTTCACTAACTGCTTATTAGACAGAGATATTGAAGGATATAGGAAGAAAGCATGATTTCATAAGCAAATACAGCTTGCTGTTCCTGGGTTGTGATCATCAGGTAGACTGGGGAAAAACTGCACTGTACCTGTGGCATTCAGGGGGCACTGATTGAATGCAAGGTCGCCCGCAGGGGTTCTTTTCCACACCATAGACATCAGATAATCCTCGGGGCATATTTCATAAGGTGCTGCAATTTAAAACAGAGCGACTTGAATGTCAGCAAAGTTTATTTAAAAAAAAAAGTACTGGCAATCACAATCCTCAAATGCATCTCTCTAAACACAGAGCTCTTTCATTTTCTTCAAAGTACAGTGTTCACTGAAATGTGAGAGATGTACTCATAAATTAAAACCCACAAAGTTTCACTGCTCTATCTACAAAATCATCAGTTTTTTAAAATTATGTAGGCTTTTTTAAAAAAAGCCATTGGTATATGTACTGAATACTGGGGCACATAAAAAAATACTGCTGGACAGAAAATATCAAATAAATACCAACAGAGTCACAATGGGTCACCTTGGTACCCCACAAGAAGAAAAAAACAGATAAACTAAATAAAATATCTACAGAGTGTTCTACCCTACTTCAATGGACTACACATTCTTCTCTGTAGCACAAGCAGCTTTCTCCAAAATGCCAGTACAACGCAACAGAGTCTATAGGAAATAATGCAAGCAGTCCGAAGAGGGAAAATTCCTGCAGTCAATGACACATTAGAAAAACAGACAAAGCTCAAATAACTTAATGATAAAACTCAAGATACTGAAAAAAAAACCACGACAATCCAAACCCAAATTTAGTTGAAGAAGGGAAATTATAAAAAACAGAGTAGGGATTAATAAAATTAAGACTAAAAAAAAAATGAAAAGAATTTGAATCAAAGAGCTAATTTTTTGAAAGAACAAAATAGATAAGCCAAACTTATCAAAAGAAATAAAAGACTGACAGTAATGTAACTGGAAAAAATATGAAATTATAATGAACACTACCACAATGCAGAAAACAGTAACTATGATAAAAAGCTGTACTACAGTATATAAGAAAATCTTGAAGAAATGGACAGATTCCTAGACACATACAAATTACCCATACTGAACTAGGAAGACATAAAGCTTCTGAACTGCTTAATAACAAGCAGTGAAATTGCAGTGATTTTAAAAAGATTAAAAGCTACCAACTAAGAAAAGCCCAAGACTTGATGGATTCACTGCTGAATTCTTCAAGACCTTTAGGGAAGCTAAACTATCATTACTCCTCAAATACAGAAAATAGTCCTAAAATGAATTTGGAACCAGAAGAGACCTAGACTAGCCAAGGCAATCCTGGGCAAAGGCAAGGCAGAAGGCATCACAATCCCCAACTTGACATTATACTACAAAGCTACTGTGATAAAAACAGCATGGTACTGGCAAAAACAAATGAATAAGCAAATCAACCAGATTAACTATAAATGGAAGATATTAGAAGATACAGGAACAACTCCAAACACACTCAGCAACCTTATCTTTCACAAAGGGGCCAAACACTTTCACTAGAAGAAAGATAGCCTCTTTAATAAATGGTGCTGGAAAAATTAGCTTTCCACATGTGGAAGATTAAACTTAGACCTGTATCCCTCACCATGCTCTAAACTAAAATTGTAATGGATCAGTGATCTATATGTTAAGGCACAAACAGTTAATCTGCTGATGACAGAATACATACAATTCTTGGAGACATACGTGTAGGCAGACTTTATAGACAAAACCCTAATGGCACAGGAAATATTACAAATAATATCTGAGATTTCATCTTATCAATGCTTTTGCACAGCCAAATAAAGCACCAACCGAATGAAGACACACACACAGAGTGGGGAAAATTTGTCAGTAAATCTCAGACAAAGGACTAATATCTAGACTATACAAAGAACTCAGATGCCCAAATTCCAAGAGTCAATCCAAATATGGGCTTCAGAAATGGATAGACATTTCTCAAACAAAGAAGTATGAATAGCAAATAAATAAATGAAAACATGTTCAGCATCACTGGTCATTTGAGAGAAGTAAATAGAAACAACACTGAGATTGCATCATATGCTACAAAGAATGGCTATTATCAAGAAATCAACCAATAACAAATGCTGGAGAGACTGTGGGGAAAAAGGAATCCTTTTCAACTGTTGGTGCAAACATTGTTGTGTGCAAACATTGTTGAAATCAGTATGGAGACTTCTCAAAAACCTATGACTAGAAATTTCATTCAACCCAGCTGTTTCCCTTTTTAGTATCTCCTTGAAAGAATTAAAAGAATCATGCCAGAGTAAGATATGCAGAGCTACATTTATATTAGCATAATTTGTAATAGCTAAATCTTGGAAATAGTTCAAATGCCTATCAACTGATAAACAGATAAAGTTTTTTTAAAAATATAATAGAGTACTACTTTGTCACAAACAAGGGTAAACTTCATGGAAATGTTTAGGCAAATGGACATACATGAGATCATACTTTTGAGTGAAATAAATCAGACACATTTTAAATACAGCATTGTTTCTCTGCTGTGAGAAACTGAAATAAGGACCAAAATTTGTAATAGCTACTGGAAAGTAGGAAAAAGTGTTTAAACGGGAAGGGGAATAGTGAAGGGAGAGAGGGAAAGGATTAAGGGAAAAGGAAAAAAAAGGAGACAATAGAAGAAAAAATGGAAACAAAGCTTTTGTGAATAAGATGTGTGAGATGGGTTGAAGGAGCAAAGGGGAGTGGGGAAAAGGAATTAAGGTACTATGTACAGGTACAAATTTCTAATAGTGAATGTCACTATTATGCGTATCGAAAGTGTACCAATAAAATTAACTTTTTTGTCTTTTTCCTTTTTATTGGTACCAGGGATCGAACTCATGACTGCCTGCTTGCAAGGCAGGCGCTTATGCCGCCGAGCTGAATCCCCAGCCCTAAAATTAATTTAAAAAAAAAAAAACAAAGCAGTTTTTAGTCAAAGAAATATCAACAAAAATATTTTCAAAATTTCTAATATTTTAGATTGTTACACAATGAAGTGATTTCCAAAAATGTAAATATCATATTAAAATTATTAGTGAGTGTTAAGAATAAACAAAGATCAAAAATGTTTTTGTTTCTTCAATCAACAGCAATGATATATAAAAATGGACTGATGATCTCCATCTTATTCTTTGAAGCATCAATTTACGTGAAAAGGAATTTTAAGAGCAATAAACATATTACAGGAATCTTACAGTGAAAAGCCCAAGAACCATGAAATGATAAGACTCATATCCACATTGCATTGAAACTGCCATTTCTCCCAGATGAAGGAAGGTCACTGTCTTCTCTAGATGCATCAACTAGTACGCTTTCCCCACAGCTTTACCAGTGAGGTGTCTGAATCTTATCACTGCATCACCTCTCACTACAGACTTCTTGTGGTTATCTTCCAGACAAAAGCTGCTCAAAACTAAATGAAAGAATAAACGAATGAGCATATGATTATATGAATACTTTGATAAATGAGGCCCTAATAATACTAAGCTGGGCTGGGGATGTCACACAACTGTAGAGGGTTTTTCTATCATATCTGAGGCTCAGTTCACATAAATGCCAAGGAAAGGGAAGTAGCAAAAATGGGCAAAGGCTAAAAATGTTAGAGCTGCAACAAGAATGCAGTGCGCAGACATCTGACTCCAACCTCCACCTGTGCATTACAAATCTGTGCGTGTGTCTTTGGGTCATGTGTCTTTCTTGGGTTTTAGACTGGCAATGCCAAGTGCTTGGTGGTATTTTTGCCTTGACTGTTCTGAATAACTCAGTCGTGCCATGGACATGTCAGCTCTCACCATTTGCCCCCAGGCTAATGTTGATTTCTTAACTCTGCCGGTGATGTCCGAAATGGGTGCCCATAAATAAAAACAGCAGATCCATCTAGCACAGGCAGCCACTGGAGGCATCTAATGGAAAGATGGATCTGATCTGAGCTTTAATTTTAAGAAGATTGCTCTGCCTTCTATGGGCAGAACAGATGGGCAAGCCCACCAAGGAGGCTCATGCAGAGTGGCGATGGTGATGCTTGGCAGCAGGACTAGGTGAAGGCTAAGGGAGACAGGTAGGCACTGGGTACTTTTAGGAGGTGGCCCACATGTCATGAGGGATGAAGGAGACAAAGAGGCCAAGGCCAATGTCTGTTCTCTAAGCTGAAGAGCTGGGTATCCAGTGATGCTATTTCTCTTTAAACCTATGTTTATGCTTGAAAATAGAGTGAGCTCCAAAATGAAGTTTAATCCTATCACTTGCTGTTTAAATCCCTTCCATGGTTTCCTGTCCTGGGCAAGATAAAGAAAACACAGTTGGATGAAAAGAGTTTTCCGGTGAATTTTGTCCTCCAACGGCCCACGTAACTCACTATGCACCAGCCAACACAGAGCAGTCATTCCTGAACATTCTACACTAAGGTGTGCTGCTCTCCCTCCATTAATGCCTTGCCTTCTACTTAAGAGGCTATCTTTAGGTTGGGGATATAGCTCAGTGGCACAGTCCCTGCCTAGCAAGTGCAAGGTCCTGAGTTTGATTTCTGGTACCAAAAAGAAAAAACAAAAACAAACAAGCAAGCAAACAAACAACCCCCCCCCCAAAAAAAAACTCTCTCCAACTCCTATTTATCTTGAAACAAAACTTAAATGAGGACTTAATGCCCAAGTTACTGAATATACAAAAATACAGAGCTGCTTAAAATGGATCCAAAATACTTAGTTGTATGTATAAACTTTCACAATTCTCAAATGTAGCTTTCTAAGGAACTAAACATGTTTTACTTATTTTTAGTCTGCTGTAATGTAATGAACTACCACGGTTTTCAGCATTTAGGTACTCAAAATGTCTTTTTACTCATTGCTGAGACAAAACACCTGATGTCCAAAGTTGGGAAAGGAATGGTTTATTTCTTACAGTTTTTGGAGGTTTCAGTCCATATTCAGTTGGCTCCAAGACAGGGTGGCATGGCGGGGCCACAGTTCATGGCTAATGCAAACAGTAAAGGCAGAAACGGGCAAGACAGAGCAAGACACACCTTCTTCCTGCTGTTACATTACATCCTGGCTCCACCCCTAGGCCAGTGTAGCAATCACATCCCCAATCCAAGCTCTAGACAATAAAACAATCACAAATGCATAATGCAGATGCTGAGGTCTGGGGGCTG